TGAGCGGGGCCTTGTTAACCCAAAGGGAGGAGGAAGGGGGAGGGAGAGGGGGAGGGGGAATCTCTCCCCCCCTTGCTTTCCCCCCTTGGATTTTTTGGGGGCTGGTGCAGTTTAAGGCAGAGATTTTAAGGTGGATTCTGCGAAAGTTGCGCGTCTGCTTTCAGACTTGATGTAGACGCCACGAGTCGAATGGTTTGTCTCCAAAGGGCAGCGCCTTCCCATTGGTCAGTCGCCCCCTGACGTCACAGGCGCACGGCTTCTACTGGCGTGCGCGCAGCTCGCCCAGCTCTTCCTCTACCTTCCGCAACTCCAATCCCAGCCCGGGGCTGCGAGCCTTGAGCTGCGCGGCGCGGCGCCGGGGCGGCCGGGGAGGCAGGCGACTCCGCCCTGGCCCGCCGCCGCCGCCCTCCTTCGAAGCTATTGCCCAAATCCTGGGCCCCCAGTTTCCAGTATCACAGCCTTGCCACTGCCTGGCTGGAGGCTGCTCTACCTCACAACCCTCGCGCCCTTGCGGGCTGCCTGTGCTCACGAGCAGTGCCCCTTGCATTTAAAGCCAGGCGCCCTCCCTCGAGCTCCCCCCACCACAACTCCACTACCCTCCCGCGGGAGCGCCCCGTCACCGTGGATTTTTCTAGACGTGCTTTATTGAAACCACAGAGGAAAGAAGGGCCCCCACACCTGGGCTCCACCCCATGAAGGGGGTGGTAAACAGAAAAATTAGACCCTGTTCTGGAGAGGTTCCTGCCGGTCCAGGCCGTAATTCTTATATATTGGACGGGGTGGGAGGGGATATTCCCCCCCCCACACACACAAACGCAGCAGCAGCCTGTTTTGAAAGCGAATGGTTGGAGGACTGACAGTAATGCATTTTTTCCTATTGAAAACAGAAGCTACTGTAATGCTTTCAAATATATGCAAATGATACATGCGGTTAGTGGTTTGGCAAATCTTGATTACAATATAAACTACCAAGTAAGAGTGCCTTCGTCCTAAATTTGTCTCTCGATTACAATTCCAATTGATTTTATTTTATTGTCAACATTGTTAATGATAAAAATAGAGTCGTTTTACAGTTATTTTTACTTTCTGGAAGGAGGCAATTAGAGTTCTAATCAGGAATACACAAAAATCTCCCATGATTAACTGCAGTACTTTGTTCAAATTGCTGCTATAAAATTCAGAACAATTTGCCTGTAATGATTATGGACTGGGTTTATTTTGGGAGGTGGAATAAAAGTGGATATAGCATAAATTATCCTCTAATTATACACCAGTGTCGCCTCAATTATCCTCTTATCAAAATGGTTGTCTAACTGCCGCATTTAGTTTCAATTCTCTCCTTTTTTTCTATAAAAAGAACTTCATACCTTGTTATTATTAATCCATTTATTATTTGCAAGGGGATTTATATCCGCACATCCAGGTGGTAGAACCACTTCTCTTTCAAAGATGGACTGGGGAAAGACATTAAGTTTGGAGCCGCCCAGGGCTGCGGATCCAGCCTTTCTCCCTCGTTCTCCAGACCCGCTCCGGTCCAGGCAGCCGATCACAGGCAGTGGAGCCCGGCGCATGGCTCAGGCCCAGCCACCAGGTAGGAAAGCCCGGGAGCTGGCGCCGAGGGAGGCCTGACGAACCACTCGGGGGTCCGAGTCCTGGGACTGCGGGTAGTGCTTGGGAGCCGCTGCTGCCGAGCGTAGAGACAGGGTGGGCGAGACCTGCAGACCTCCGCCTGCTCGGCGAGGGTTTTCGGTTGCATAGAGACGGAAGCCGCCAGCCTTTACGCAGACGGAGAAGTGTGCAGTCGAACTAGCCTGTGTCGTAGTGCCTGAAGGTTTCGGGGATTAGTCTGTCTCCTTTTAAGGAAAACTACTGGACCCTTCTTTGTACCCTACTTCGCCAGTACCCCCAAGTTACGGGACCCAAGGAGCCTGAGAAATGATAGGTAGCGCGCTGCTTGCCCCAGTTAACCGCAGAGAGAGAGGGCTGCGGACGGAGCTACTGGGACTCTATTCACAGGTTGCTCAGAGGTCGCCGGCAGCGGCTTATGCTAATTGATTTTCCCAGCTCCAAGCCTGGGGTCTCCAGGCATCGCCCGGCGAGTTTGCCTTTTTCTTTTCCATTTTACTTTCCGCGATTTATCAAAATGGTTATCTAAAGAATTGGAGCACGCAGCCCATGGGTCCTCTGCAGAGCTCCCAGGGCAGCGACGTTTGTTCTCCCCACCTCTCTCCACTTGCCACGTTTAACTTCTTGAGTCTCGGGAGCCGGTTCAGTGACTCTGAATTCATGTTTAAGCGATGTCCCTTGTTCCCTTCCTTTTAACAAGAGGTGCACTTTAACACGCGAACCAGTAACCCGATCCATGCATTTACAAATCGGCAATGAATCAAGACAACAACAACAAAAATCTTCCAGGAAAATGAAAGGTGGTCAGGAGAAGGTGTGTGTGGGAGGGGAGGACAGAAGGAAGACCAAGGAAAGAGAAGGTGCCCCTCCCCACCCTGGTGCGCCCTTCATGTGCCCGGGCCGCGCGCCGAGCCTGTTTGTAATGTCCTTAAAGCCAGCAGGTAGACGTGGCAGTTTTATGGCTTTATATCCTGCGGCTTGTTAAAACAGTGAAGGCGTTTCTGCCCCGTGCTCTCTCTCTCCGTTTATGCTCACAGGTGCACAGCTTTTTTTCGCCAGCTTCCCTCAACTGAAGGCTCGCGGAGCAAGGCGAGGCTGGAGAAGGTCCTCGCATTTGCGAGCACTGATCCTGGGGCGCAGCAACATCTATTTATAAAAGGGTTTTTTTCCCCCACTTTGATTTTTTTTTAATGCCCGAGGCAGTCGGACGGGCTAGGATAGTCGGTCCGAGTTGCAGTTTCAGGGCTCTTATCTTTTCCCTATTAAGTGGTGGATAAATCCCTTAACTCTGTGCGGAGGGTGCAGGTGTGCTGGTGCGGGGAGGTGGTATCGGTGTGTGGTGAAGGTCCTGCTGAGACCTGCTAGGTGACCCAGGAGGGGCTCAGAGAAACTGGGAAGAAAGTGCAGCGTTTGATAGCCGTCTCTGCACTTGTGGGCTAGAACCCAAATTGCAGTCAAGGCCGTCTGACTTTCCCGCCAGACCCCGGAATACAGAGATAGAGAATCCTTGTGGCGAGCTACGAGTGACTGCCACGTGTAGCCTGTGACACCAGCCAGGGCGCAGAGATAGAGCGGAGACTGCTGCCGAAGCGGTTCCCAACTGTCCTTTATCTCCAGTTAAAGTCTTCGGCTCATCTTCTCCTGCGATGGATGGAGTCACCTCTATGTGCTGTAGAGCATGCTGCACCTTCAGCGCTCCTGGGAGAAGCAAAATATGGGGGTTTTCAGAGCTTTGCAAAAAAGGCGCACACCTCAGGGGCTCCGAGCCCCGGCGCCGGCTTCGCCCGCCAGCCAAGTCCTGTCTCCTACCTCTTTGTTTCGCTCGCAGGGGAACCGGGCCACCCGGGGGACGGGAGGACTAGAGCCTGCTTGGCCTGGAGCAAAGCCTTTATCATTCAAATAGAAGTAAACTAGGCAGCCAGAGAAGTCCGCGGCCCAAGAGCTCTTTTAGGGCTTGTTGTATATAAAGGTCGAACTCTCAGAGTGTTAGGAGGCACATTTTGAAGCCTCAAACGTGGCTTTTAAGATGTTGAGCTGTTGGGGCACATATTGGCTGCCGTGTTATTTAAAAACATTTGCATATTGCCACACAGGACTGCATGGCCAGCGTTGGAGGAATGAGCACACTGGGTCTGACAGTTCCTACTGTCCTAGTTCTAGAAGGGTGTTTGTGCACAAGAGTAGACCAGGGGTGCCTGGAGAGCTGAGGTGGTTTTCAGCCTTGGAAAGGGCTTTCAAAATATATTGAAGCTGGCCATGGCCTGGCTGGGTTTGGTTGCTAAGTTGGGCTCAGTTATCATGTTAATTCTAAAGAAATTAGACCTGGATAAATAGCCTTTGAATTGAATGAAATAACTCGGTATTGATTTACATAGCCATGCTAAAAAGCCCCTTCTCAATGGAGACACTGGTAGAAAAAATTACCTGCCAGCCTTACCTTCAATGTAAAATTTGGTGTGTGTGTGTGTGATTGTGTGTGTAGGGTGCCTAATATCTTGGAAACCCAGACACCCGATTTTCCTGCCCCAACCCCACACCTGTGAAGGCTTCCAGGCACAAGAGAGCTCCCTCATTTGTTGTCTTAGCCTGGCCTCACCATGGCATCTTCAGTATAGCCAAAAGAATCACCTAGAAAAAAAAATTGAAACTTTGGTGATATTTAATATTTTCTTTAGTGACAAAACTGTCATGTCTGTGTTAACACTCTACTCTCCTAGTTTCCCCAAATCCAGTTGACATGTGGTCTTTGTTTACACCACGCCCAGAGAAGACCATCACTGACGTTGGTGGGGGGGTGGTATTTCTCTCATCTCTGCAGTCCTGTGTCCAGAGAACAGACAGCTGGGAAACTCTGACATGGCACCAGATCTCCAGAGGGCTTCAGAATGTCCTGTTTAGAGACAATTAATGAAGCATACCCCAATCTAGAGGCTCCTGCTCCATGCGTTTAAAACATGGAGTCTAGTAGAGTTAAGGAAAATGAAGCCAAGTAGATCCTCAAGCTCAACACTCTGCCTCCTCTGTGGCTCCATTTCCAGGCATTCCAGCACCCAAAGCTTTCTTAGAAGACACAGGTGAAGGACAGCAGAGGTAGTTGAGAACAGCACAGGTTTCTTCCTCCCCAAATTTTGGAGCTGTAGATACAGGAGCCTGGGCACTTGTCTTTCC